CAGCAGCATAAAATAATTATACTACTCAAAAATAGTACTTGAGTTAAAGTACATTTACTCAACTAGTTAAGTTACCAAATAATGTAGTGGATTAAATAGCACTAGTAATAATTGCCTCTGAATTGAAATGCAGGAGAAGAAGCCTATTGAAGTAAAACCACTTTTGTTGGCATGAGAATAGTACTTGAGTAAATGTACTCAGTTACATTTACTTATGCTATTCTTGAGTTATCAGATAATGTAGTGGAGTAAAATGCACTTTTAATGTTCGTCTCTGAATTGTAATGGAGGAGAAGAAGCATTATATAAATGAAAACACGTTAACGTTTATCTCATGGCTCTGATGCACCGTTAAGCTCAGCAGCAGCAGAGCAGCGGCAGAGCAGCGGCAGAGCAGCGGCAGAGCAGCGGCAGAGCAGCGGCAGAGCAGCGGCAGAGCAGCGGCAGAGCAGCGGCAGAGCAGCGGCAGCAGAGCAGCAGCAGAGCGGCCTCAGACCTCTGTCGCGTCCTCGCTGAATTCACATGAAACACTCAGAGACAAAGTGAGTGCAGAGATGCTGAGTTCACAGCCTCCCACTCCTCCCTCCCCTCGCTCCCACCTCTCCCTTTTAACCCTTGCACATCTGCTCGTGGATGCTGGGCCTGGCACGGTTGCTATGGAGACCGTGTGACGTTGACAACGGTTGTCGCATCAGAGCGTGGTGTGACCCTGGTGGGGACTGAGATGCGCTAAGACAGGCACAGGTCTCCCAGGCCTCTGCTGCTGCTGCTGCTGTGTGCACAACAAAGCAGAAATAGGAGAAGTCCCACCCTCTAGGGCCAGTGTGGTAATCCCTCCTCTGGATCTTAATGAGAGAATCCTCTTGTACACACACACTCACACTCACACACACTCACACACAGGCTTCGAGACATCTGGGAGAGTCTGTGAGTGTGTGTGCAGTTCAGAGCTGGATGATCCAGGACTAAAACTTGTTGTTGAGCACTGTACTGACCTCCAGCTTCTCAGATTGAAGTTTTTGCTATTTCCTTGTTTTTCCATGAGCCATTTCAAATTTGGGTGTTAGTCAAATCCAAAATTAATAAATGTAGGGGGGGGGGGGATTCAAGCAGCAGCTCTTTCAAGCCTGTGGAGCATCTTTTATGTGTCTCATGGCTTTCCACCACTTATTTCTTAGAAAATGAAGAACCCTGCTGTAATCGACTGTAAGCTACTCAACACACACACACACTCACACACACAGGAAGGAGGGAAAAGGGAGGGGAAAGAGGGAGAAATGGAGGAAGGAAGTGAGACAGATGAAGGAGGGTGAAGGAGGAGAACAGTGGTGGGAGACAGAGGAAGAGAGAGCTAAAAGGTGAGGAGAGAAATGTATAGGCATCAGCATAATTTCACACATCAGTGGAAATGAGGCCAATGCGGTACTCGGTGTGAGATATAAATATAGCTCTCCTGTGGTTATATTAAGCAGCTTGAAATGGTTTCTATAGAGCCACGACGAAGACCCGGACGCAGAAGTGAGTTTGCATGAACATTTTTTCAACTCTGTATGTATTTCTGTCTGTGCATGAAGTATAATTCATCTGCAGTTGTACTGGAAAATGTTATGATTCCAATGAAATTCAAGTCAAGTCTCCCCTTTGTGCACGGGCCTCCCCCTTTAAAATAATTAGATAGCTCTTAATTAAAGCATACATACACAACAATGAATAAAGAAAGAAAGAAGAAAAGATAGAGGTGTGAAAAAGTCAAAACATCTTAAAGTTTCTTTGTACATAAGAATCTGTCAAACACAGAGTTCATCGTAAATGCCTTCTTATAT